GGGGGGGGGGGGGGGGGAAGCCGGGGTGACATAAGGGAAGGTTCTTAAGGGCTGCATGGGGAGACCCTGGCCCCTTCTCTCTAGCCACGCTAGCTTGGTTCCTGTGAGTTCGCTCTGGCCTGCGTTTTGCTCTGGTGTTTTTCCTGAATAAAGAAATCTTACCATCAAGGACTATAGGTCATCTCTGAGCTCACACGGTAATCCTAAGATCTAATGATAGTGAGGCAATTCCCTTTTACATCTTTGATATAATGTCCCACTGTGTAGCCTCATAAATAGAATTTATTGTCAAGACCAGATTGGCTTTGACTCAACTGCTTCTGCATCCAAAATGCTGGAATTAAACATGTGCATTACCTCTCTTTTTTCTTTTTCTTATCACATCATAGCTTTTGCCAAAGTGCACATGTGTTGATTCCTGCACACTCTTCCTTGCATTGCAGTAACATTAATATTATGTATACCATCAGTTTGATTTGTGGTTTAGTTTGAATGAAACAGCAAGATTAAGTCTAGCCCTACTACAAGTGCAAGTGGATTCCCTTTAGTAATTTTGAAGATTATAGAACATAGTTTATTCTATACTGTGTCCTTCATAGATACATGAAAAGTTACCAAATATATGTAAAGGGTGCTTTCAGGTCCTCATTTAGCATTATATATCTTCTGTTTGTGTGGAATCTAGAAATACGTTCTAGCTGTGTATAGCAATATTTGTTACTCTGCCTGAACTCCAGCATTTGGCATTAAAACATCATTTAATTTCCATGTGTATGTGTGTGTCTGTGTGTGTGTGTGTGTGTGTGTGTGTGTGTGTGTGCTTGTATGCATTTCAAGAAGTTTCTACAGTAATTGGTTTCAATATAGCTTTTCAGAGGTCTTCAGTGTTAGTTATTCCATCTCATACTCCCTCTCTAAATCTGCCTACAATCTCCCATCATATTTAATACTTATTGTTCCATTATTCTTTCTTCATCTAAAATCACCTGTAATTAATTTCATGTGATATATTTGATCATGATGTTTCCCTTCCTGTACTTCTTTCAGATTGACCCCACCTTCCCCTTGAGATATAGTATCAGGGTTGATGAAGCCTCCCATTTTGACCTAGTGTTCCAAACCCTCTCACAGGCTGCAAATGGTCTAGTTGTTTATGAATTCCCATATACTGCAAGTAGATCTTCTTTTATGAGGTTTGAACAAATCCACTTAATATAAGTATAGTAATATGCCATTAAGTGTCATTTTGTTTCAATAATCCATAGCAGAGCAATGATGGTAGGTTTTTCCTAGGACCATGACCCATCTGGTATTATGGTTTTGGCCAATTTAATAATGTCATGTATAATTTCCATCCCAAAAGGTAGGTCTCAACTTCAATTAAAATGAAGTGTTGGTTCCATCAGTTACTGAATGAGAGGTTTATATTTGTCTTTCTGGGTTTGACTTACCTCACTCAGTTGATTTTTTCCATTACAGCTGAGCTATATTGTATTGTATACATATACCACATTTTCATTACTGATTCATCAACTGATGAATATTTCCATTTTCTGGGTATTGTTAATAAACCATCATATTTACTCTTTATTAATTATTTGTTGTTATTAAAATGTATTAATTTTAGGAACATTTTATTATCCACAAATATATGTATAATTTCAATAGCTATATCATATTGAAATGATCTAGGATACATATTGATTTTTCTTAACATAAGTACCTGTCAATTTAAGTACTTTGAACTAATGATGCAGTGAGCAGCTTTATATATATATAATTCACTTCCATATTAACTTATATTCTATGCAATATATATGAGAAGAAAAATGGTTGGGAATTACACATGTAATTTCAAGTTTGTAATACACACAAATACATAAAATATATTTCCAAAGTGACTTATAGCCTGCCAGTAATGGGTCAGCTTCGTTTTATATAGTCTGTCCTTAAAATTCGTAAAAGAGAGTGACATTTGAAGACTACTTTTAGTTTTATGTCATAAAATATTGGAAAAATTACCTTGTCTCAAGTAAGTAGTCAATGATACATATATAGTGAAAATAACTACAATAATTATTAAAACAATGAAATAAAAATAGAGAGCTAACTAGAGCATAGAAATAAAAACATTAGGAACAGGATGGACAGAACCTCACTAGGAATATAATAAATCTTCCTATTGCAAATGTCATCATTAGCTCTTTTAGGCTCATGTCAATCATTCTATGTTTTAATGGGATTGTTTTTAATCTCATAAAATGCCATGTCCTTGCACTGTCAATTATTGAGAATAAGCATGGATTGCTGATCATTCATTTAATTATGTCAAAGAATAAACCATTTTATATGAAAATTACATTAAAATGGACACAAAATTTCTTTATGTTGCTACTAAATATTCTGTATATTTTAACTTAGATCATGTTTCATTTAATCATTACAGTGATTATGATGAAAATTTACTCGGAGAGACTGACCTGTCATTATTTTTCTCTACGATACACCCGAAATTCACAGATCATTTAATAAATGATAATAATATTTATAAATGGCAACTTCTAGATATCAAATTAGAGAGCATTAAGAATACTGGCCAGAATAAAAAAAGTCTGTAGTATGTGTGTTCATAAGCCACAGGATATTTAATAATGAGATTTGATTCAGTTGGAATTCTGTCCTGGGATACTATTGATCTTGAACTGTAATTAAAATTCTATGGCTATTTATTTTTGCTAAGAAAGCATCTTTTTATTCATATACCTTTTATATACCAAATATAACTATATAATTATATAGGTATATTCAAGATAACAAACTCATTCTTACTTATATATTATTAAACACAGTTTGGAAGGCCTTAAATTCTGGTACAAAGCAAACAAAGGTTTAGTTCATTTGGGTTCCTGCTTTGGGCACATTCAATCCTGAAATTGACTTTACCTGTGAGCATCTCTCCTGGTAGAATTGATTTATGATACGCTCCATTGCCATCCAGACATTTTCCAGAGACGTGACAAAGAAGTTCTGCTTCTCTAACCTGCTAATCAATGGAGAGCAAACAAGATCAGAAGAAACTAAACCCTTTCTGCAAGGTGATCAGACACTAAATGTCAGGTTGTGAACACTGTGTTTGAAAATAAATAGTGGAGCTCTTACCTTGTTAATTAGCATTGTTGTATGCCTTTTAGAAGA